GTGGGCGGTCACAGATTAACCCTCGGGGGCCTGGACAGAGTGTGGGGGCGGGGTACCCGGGCCTTCCACCTGGCCACCAGCCCCACCACAGAGCCAGCTGCATCTTGGCCGCAGACAGACAGATGTGCTGCTCCTTGGCGCACACAGCTGGACAGATGTGCCCCCGCATGTGGATGCAGGCCCAGCCCCGCCCCAGCAGCACATCATGGTTTGTGGGGTCTCGTGGCACAGACCATGGCGTGGTGCTACCGCGGGGCCGGGGAGACAGCGTGGGAGACAGCGTGGGAGACTCCCCCAAGCCTCCCCTCCCGCCCCGCTCCCAGCCCCTCCACTCTAGCAGCACATAGATATTGGCGCTCTCAGTCCTGCCAGTGTCCTTGTGCTGCCCCAGTGAGGTCGGGCCACTGGCTACTGGGACCAATGGGAGGGGGAAATTGGGGGCACTGGAACCTGGGGAGTTGAGGGCTGGTGTGGTTGGGAGGCAGCCAGCTTTGGAAGAGGAAGCATTAAACCCCTCCTGTTGTGCAGGGGAAACTGAGTCAAGCCTGGGGAATGTATGGGTGGGAGCAGGAGATGCCCCCCTAGGGCACAGGTTGGGGTTATTAGCTATGCACGGACCTCATTGACTATGCACGAGGAACACTGAATATGTATGAACTGTACTGAATAGGCACAAACTCCATCAGCTATATGTGACCCTCATCCACTGCTCCCCCCCACTGACTCTGCAGCCTCTCATTAGCTATGCATGGCCCTCATTAATTAGGTATGGACCTCATTGTCTATGCACGGTCCTCATTATTATGCATAGGCCTTACTGAGCATGCACCCCCTCAGCAATTATGCAACTGCTCATTGATTATGTGCAACCCTCATTGCTTATGCATTGCCTTCCCTCAATTATGCACAATATGCAAAACCCCCTCAACAAAGCGCAGTCCTCATTGACAAGGCATCACTCCATGGAATATGCAGCCCCTCATTGACTATGCATGACCCCCCCCCCACTACCCTAGTTGACTAGGCACTCCTTAATTATGCATGACCCTCATTGACTATGCATGAGCCCCTGCAATGCCTGTCCCTCACTGTTGATGCACAAGCTCCATGGTGGCTGCAGACTCACCAATTCTGTACCAGGCTCACTGACTATGCATTGGGGGGGGGCGTTCATGCAGGGTGAACCCCCTGCCTGTGCCTGACAGTCACTATGTATGAGGGTCACCCCCAGCTCATTGACTATGCATGAGGGTCACTAATTGAGCAGGAGTTATGCATGAACCGTGCTGAATATGCATAATATTCATCAACTATGCATGAACCCCTGAGACCAGGCGGTGCTTATTACCTATGCGCAAACCCACCAATGGCAGATGACGCAGGCTGCCTACACCATTGTGCGCAGCCCTCATTAGCTTTGCAAATGCCCTCATTAGTTATGCAAATGCCACCCAGAGACCATGTGACTCTTAATTGCTATGTGGAAACCTTGTCAATTAATCCTGATGCTGGTCCTTGCCCCTTCCCTGACCCACCCCATTGCCACCCCCCCGCAGCCACCCCTGGGCTTGCATTGCCGGGTCCCTCCCCACCAGCTCCCAGAAAGGAAACCGAGGCACACAGGAGGCAATAGAGGGGAAGGCCCTTTATTCACCGTCACACTCCGCCCCAAGCCCCGTGCCCTCAAAACAAGTGACGGGGCTGGGGGGGTTGGGATGGACACCCCCAGTGTCCTGCCCCCTCACGCTCAGGGTGGTGTCCGGTGGTCTGGCTGGCCAGGGTCAGCGCGACAGCAGGGGCAGGTCACCGGAGGTCATGAGCAGCCCAGGGTCCAAGGTCAGGCTGTCTGGGAGAGAAGAGAGA